TATATATATATATATATATATATATATATTATTTCATTTCTGAAATTGATTTTTTATGTATATTAGTCTATAGTATTTCAATTGAATATCAACTATTATTATTAAAGATTAACATTACAGTTGAAACAGAGTTAGCGCTTAACATATTTAATTTAATTTAATTCCTTATAAAATCCAATGAAGCCCGCTGATTCTTACGGCAATGAATTGATTGTTATATAACCACTTTTATTTATAATTTATTACTATTAAAATGCGCACAAAAATACAGCCACCCCATTGAAGCTCTTAAAGAAAATGTTTATTACAATAATAAATAAAGCTTAGCTTTGTTTACTTTTGATTAACATTTATTAATTTTCCCCTTCTTTAAAAAGATATATATTAATTTATAATAACGTCTCTTGAAGCTGCTAAGTATCTGATAATTACCCTCTTAAACGTTTATTTTTGATTATATCATAAGTACGCATGATTTAATTTTTGATAGTCGAATTTAGGGGCTGATGATTTTTTTTTTTTTGCACCAATGACAATTTGAGCAAAGGTCGGCCCTTATTAATTTGGAGATTTGTAGAGTGTCGCAGTAGTATGATTTGATTATCAGTTGCACCTCTCGCAACTTTCGCAGCGACACGCAAGTATCGGAGGCAATCAAAATGCATTTTGAAGTTCGAATGCTCGTCTTGAACAATTTAAAATGCGAAGACACGCGAAATGAAAGCTTAGTGCTACGTGAGTTGCTGACAGGTGAACTATACGACTACTATCCAGCGAGTTTTCCCCATTTCTGAAGTTCAAGTGAGTTCTATTCAAACGCCCAGGGGATCGCGCACAAGTCTCAAATTGATGCCCCCATCGGCCTGTAGTATTATTGCCTTCGCGTCCAGTTTCATGCGACGCGGTGTTCGCTCCGATGTTGTTACCAAATGATTGCGCAACACATAGACCAAGCCCACCTTTGCCTGCAGGTAGCCATAGCGCTCGCCAATGCATCCATGCGGACCCAGGCCAAAGGGCATGTACGTATACGGAATATGCTGCTTCCGGTTGCTCGAGGAGAAGCGTTCCGGCTGAAATTGCCTCGGCTGTGGGTAGTACTGCAAGGAGAGAAATAGAGAGAGAGAGGGGAGAAGTTAGAAAAGAACTACAATAAGAGACTAAGTAGTGAGCTGAGAAGAGCAGAGTTACATGAAGTTAAAGCAGATCTACTCACCTGGGGATCAATATGCAAGGCGTAAGCTGGTATATACACGGGCATGCCCTTGGGCACGCAGAACTTGTGGAAGGGCGCCAGGGAGTAGCCCTCGTCGCTGGTGCACTCGCGATCGAGAAAGGGCAGTGGAGGATACATGCGTAGCACCTCCTGCAGTATCATTTGCATATATTCCAGGGACTCGATCAGCTGCTGGTTGACACAGCCTCCGCTGGCAATGAGAGCCTGTTTGATCTCAGCTCTCAGGCGCTGCTGCACCTCCGGATGCTTGGCCAGCTCGTACATGGCGAAGGCCATGGTCGACGAGGAGGACTCGAAGCCGGCGGTAAAGAAGAGCACAGCCTGGGCCACCAGAATGTCGCCATCGAACACGAATTTGGAGTCCCGAGTGCTGCGCTTGAAGTCAATTAGCAGATCGATTAGATCGTTGCGGGTCTTCTGGGACTTCTCGCGCTCTGCCATGACATAGGTGATGGTGTCGCGCAGGAATTTGGCGGACTCAGCGGGCACCACCTTGAAGCCGAAGTAGGGCACCAGCTGTGGCAAGAAGAAGACCAACGTGAACTCAGCCGCACGCTTCAGGCTGAACTGAAAGACCGCCCGGCCGTGTCGACGGAACTCGCCATTCGGATGGGTGAAACTGTTCGCCTGGATGCCGTAGGCCACCGTGGCAATCACATCCGTGGTGAAGAGAGCGCACAGCTCCTTGGCCTCCAGATCGAAGCAGCGCATCCGTTCATTGTGCAGCGGCTGCTGGCGGAGATACGCATCCAGATTGCGGCCGACCTCATCGATCAGCGGATACATGTTCTTCAGCCGATTGCTGGTGAAGAATGGCGACAGCTTCAGGCGCACCTCCTTCCAGGCCGGATTCTTCAGAAAGAATATATTCTGCGAGCCCAACGGATCGCCTTTGTAATCCGAATTCGAGTAGCGATTGCTGAACTTCGCAAAGTCCTTGACCATGATTCGCTTGATCAGCTCCGGATCGCGCAGGAGCAGCGCTGGCTTATAGAACACATGAATGCCCACAAAGGGCTTATCCTGCGCATCCGGATGATTGTACATCTCGCCAATGAAATCCGCCGGACTGCTACGCATGCTCAGCAGCCCGCCCAGGTTGCCCACAAACAGCCGAGAACGCAGCTCAGGCACGCCGCGCACTATCCAATAGGCATAGTGGTGTCTCAGGTAGTAATATCCACAGATCAGGATACAGATGAGCAGAAGCAGCGCTGTGCCAAGCGTCATTCTCACAGCTCAAGCTATGCCCAGCCACTGTTTGCCACAACTGCCTTCACATCGGGGTTTATCCCCAGCTCGCGGTGGCAGATTGCGATCGGGGTTAAGCTAATTGCGTCGCGGTTTTCGGATTTGTGAATGAAATGCGTTTTTCATTGTGTATGCTTCTTCTTCACCGACTTTTTGTTTCCTTTGTATTCGATACTTCATTGAACGCAGCTCAGGCGTATTTCTATGAGAGCTTCTTATGTAAGAGATGAACTGACGAAGGCATATTCAAATTCTATAAATATAATTAAGTTAGCTATATATTTATTTATTTCTTTCCTGTGATTTCCATTAGAATTAATATATTTTATATTCCACCTTCTATCATTCAGTTATGTTAGCTTTTTCCTTGGCTCTGCTCCTGCTGTCTCTGGCGCTGCTCTGCATCTACTTGTACCTAGAGCAGCGTTACAGCTACTTTCGTCGACATCGACTGACGCATATACCCGCCTCCAGCTGGACGCCATTTGGTCACCTGAAGCAGCTTCTGCTGCTGCGTATCTCGTTTGGTGATCTCTTCAAGGAAATCTATGCAGATGCACGCATTCAGCACGCGAAGCTGGCTGGTTTCTACGTGTTTCAAACGCCGGCGCTAATGCTGCGTGATCCGGAGCTAATAAACCTGGTGCTGATCAAGCAATTCAACAGTTTTCTTAACCGGTATGAAGCCGCCGATGCCCGGCATGATCCGATGGGTGCACTGACGCTGCCATTGGCCAAGTATCCGGTGTGGCGGGAGAGTCGTCGCTGCATGTCGCAGATGTTCAGCAGTGGCCGGATGAAGCAGCGCATGTATCCCCTTATGCAGCAGGTGCTGCACGAGCTGGAGCAGCATCTGGATAGGCGCATGGGCGGGCGGTCGGAGCAGGTGCTGCCGCTGAGCGAGATGTGCCAGCTGTACACGACCGATGTGACGGGCAGACTGTTCTACAGCTGGGATGTGGGTGGACTGCGGCATGGTGAGTCACTGCTAAGGGATCAGACCAAGCAGCTGCTCCACCCGAATCTCACCAAGGTGCTGCACTTCATGTGCATCTTCTTCTTGCCTCAATGGACTTGGCTGCTGCGCGCCAAGGTCTTTGCCGCGGGCTATGCGCGCTTCATGCGGCAGCTGGTGGAGAGGCAGCTGCGACAGCGGTGCCAGAAGCGTAATCCCCTAGCGGATGTTGATCTGCTGGGTTTGCTGGAGCCACTGCAGCGTACGCAGCATTCGGATTTCACAGCTTCCCAGGCGGGCATCATTCTCCTGGCTGGCTTTGAGACCTCGTCCGCCCTGCTGGGCTTCACACTGTACGAGCTGGCCAAGCAGCCGGCGCTGCAGCGACGCTTGAAGCGGGAGCTGACCACAGCCTTTGGCCAGAATGCGCAGCTCAGCTATGAGACAGCCTCCACTTTGCCGTACCTAAAAATGGTCTGTCTGGAGGCTTTGCGCCTCTATCCCGCTGCTGCATTCATCAATCGCGAATGCACACGACCCGCGGGCTTCTCACTGCAACCACACGTGGACTACGTGATACCGCCTGGTATGCCCGCCTACATATCCATATTGGGCATACAGCGTGATGCCAAGGTGAGAGTTAAAAATATTGATACATAGTTGAGTGCTAATCTAGTCAATATACTAAAGTACAAATATTTATTATTTACATTGCTTCAATTCCAATATCAATATATCCAGGCTAATAAGAATAACGAATATTCAGCGCGTAAATCCGTACAAACTCTGCCTTTCTATTTCTATTGTATTTCAGTACTGGCCCAATCCATTGCACTTTGATCCGGAGCGTTTTGCGCCGTCACGCCTAAAGGATATAATACCCATGACTTATATACCCTTTGGTGCTGGTCCGCATGGTTGCATCGGCAGTCGACTGGGTTTGCTGCAGCTGAAACTGGGCGTGGCACACATACTGCGAAGGCATCGAGTGGAAGTGTGCGATAGAACTGTCAACCAAATACGCTTCAATCCAAAGACCTTCATGCTGGAGTCATTGGATGAGCTATATTTACGTTTCTGCCTAGATCCCATGTAGTTAACACAAATGTATTTAAAAACCTATAAATAGAGGCTGTGAAATACCATTATTAAACTATCTGTCTAAGTTCTATAACAATTATCTTTTCATCTATCAAGACAGCTCAAAAGGCTTTGTAGTCAAGTAAAAAACTGAAATTGTTATACAAAGTGATTCGCAGACACGCAAGGGCCCATAGGATATATAAATATATATCACATATACATATAGGAATAGCTATATATACCTGGAATTGCATGTTATCGAATGTTTTTCTGACAGTTGATGAACCAAGGAATTTTAATTGCTCAACATTTAAGCGAGAGATAACTGTACCCAAAACTTTTACAATTCTAACATAAATCAGTCATCAATGCAAAAAATAGTGTAATTGATTTTTCATTACATAAATATAGTTCAATTTATTTTGCTCGTTCCAAAAGTGCTCTTAGCTTGGATGTTTAGGTGTCTATAGATAATCGTATATTCCATGGAGGTTCACATGCCGTATTATATTACTTTTAGTTGGGATGCTGTTCGAGACGTGCCAGCTTCTCCTCAATGTCCTTGATGCGACAGCGCACCTCGGGCGCTGAGTCGCGTTGAAATTTGCTCAGATTCGCTTCGAAATTCTGCTTGAGCAGCGCCAACGTAGACTGATCCCTGGTCAAGCTGAGACGCTTGATCAGCATCAGAACGATGTTGAGTGCCTCCTTTTTGAGCCCTGTATGGGGTACGCCGGCGGCTAGAGTGACGGCGGCCAGGACATCACTGCAGATCTTCTGCACGATGGCCTCGCGTGTCTGCAATGGCGGCGCCTCCGTCTTCGGCTTCTTTTCCAGATTGTTGCGCTCGAGCGCTATGTCGGGTAGCTGGGCTGTCTCATCGAAGATGTACAAGCGCTCCACGTACTTGGTTAGCGCAGCCAGCAGGCTCACCTGTACAGGTCGTGTGCTCTCGCTCAAAATGCTCGTGCAGTTCTCGGCGAAGAAGAGTTGATATCTGTGCTGGGTTTCGATTGCATGCTTGGGCCACGCCTTGCCGAGGGTCTCCCACACAACCTCCTTCAATTTGTTAAGCGTTTGGGCGCGTTTGTTGCGCTCATCCGCTGTTAAGTCCTTGCGTGCAATGCCACTACAGCCAGCCTCGTCATCGTCATCTGAGTCAACAGCGCGCAGCTCCTTCTTCTCCAGCAAATACCAGATCATGTTGCACACCTCCTCAAAGCGATCCGCCTCCAGCACATCCAATATATCGCCGAGGGCACCTAATGCCATAGTTCGATAGACTGGCTCCTGTTTGCGCGCCTCACGCATTGCTGCATCTATGATGCTCGGACAGATCTCGTGCTGGCGATCGAGGTGTTTGCATAATGCAGCCAGCGCCTGCAATAGACGCTCCTTGCCCTCGAAGGTACGTCCCTGCAGGCCGCTAAGCAGCAGCTTGATGAGACGCACTCGATCCGCTGTCTCCAGAGAGCTGCCGAGCCGCACTGCTATATTCTGGATGACATTCGCTGCCTGCGCCTTCCGCGACCAACTGGCATCGGTTAGCGACGACTCCAACTTGGGCAGGATGACATGCAAATTGACTCGAATGCCTGCATCACCTGGACTTATGTCCATCCACAGATCCTTCCACAGCTCAATGTTCGCTTTGTTCTCCTCGTTCTGCTCCTCGTGCATGGCAAAGAAGATCAACGGGAGCAAGCAGTCCATGTAGTCCTTGAGCAGTTCATGGTGTCGCTTATTAATCGATTGTATGGTCAAAGCAATGGAACGATTGTTTGGCTGCTCCATATACAGCTCGTCCAATTTGGCAAAAAGATTCTTAATCGATTGCTCCTGTAAGAGAAATATATTAAGAGGAGCAAGGAATAAACTGAGTAGCAATCTTACCTTGGCCAGTCCCATGAGATGTCCAATGGCGCTCGCATTATATTTGCGCACCGTAGCATTGCGATCCTTGATGCCGCCAAAGCAGGCGCCCAGATATTTGCCCACCAGGGGCGTCATCTCTTTGCCTAGCCTTATGCTGATCTGTGAGGATGAACCAAAAGGAGAATGAGTTTTTGTATACCAAAAGAATTATGACTCACTCACCAGGCAAACGAAGTGGGCGCAGCCAATTTTTGTGCCCAGATTCACGCTGGTCTTCATCAGCTCGAGGAGCTCCGGGGTCATGCGCTCTAGCACAGGGTAATCAATGAAGCGCACACACTTGTTGATCGTCTCCATGGTATGATGCGACTTGGCTGCCTCAGCGCGCAGACTGTCGACAGCTTCCTGTGCCTCATTGTCGGCGCCCAGACGTGTGGACACATACGAGAGCTTGGTGTTTTCCAGCTCGCCTGTAGCGCGCAGCATGCAGGGTATGAGAGTGGCAAGGTGCGGTGCAATTAAAGCACCTGACGAGTCAATCATTTCCGATATAGTCTTGATGCTGACCTTGCGTATTTCAGCTACCTTGTGACCCACGCCCGTCTCTAGTAGATAGGGTAGAATGGATGCAGCGACGGCAGTGCCGGATTTTCCATGCTCTGAGGAGGCGGCTAGCACGCATAACTTACTCAGAAATGTGGCTGTGCCTTGGGCAGTCATGCGTGTGCCCTCGTGTATGTCATCCATGACGCGGAATAGCTGATACCAAAGCTCGCGCAGCTCCGGCTCAGGCAGCTCGTCCACATCCATCGTGTCGGGCGTTACACGGCGAACCGGCCCAGTGGTCGATGTCAGATGCTTCTCCTCGGAGCGCAAGCGCAAACCATTTGAGCGCTTAAGCAAATCCCGCACAGCCAAGCAGCAGGCAATGCGCACACGCCATTCCGTGCAGGTCAAATTGTCAAGGAGTTCGCGCAGAATCTCCCAATAATATTGCTCGGTTACTTCCTTCGAGTCGGTGACAATGGTGTCCCATATGGATATCATGGAGTTTTGGATTTTTGGTGTCGGGTCGTACTTATAACGATAAAGACGTGGGATTATCTTGCCCAAGTAGGGTTGCATCTTCTGTCGCGACTCCGCGGATAGCGTCTTCAAGCCAAACGCCGCACCCAGCTTGCTGGTCCAAGTGGCATTATGATTGGCCAGCTGCATAAACTGGTAAATCATATCTGGCTGATTGAGATCGGAGGCAAGGGAGCAGAGTTCCTTGTAGGTGGTGATATTGCCGCCTGTTGGCGTCTTGCCCAGCATGCCCTCGGCAAAGAGTTCGGTGTCGCCTGTGACTTGATTCACCTGCCTCTTGCCGCCAATCAACTGATCGAGCAAAGAATTCGCCAGATCCGTTTGACTAGTCGAATCGGAGAGGGCGTAAACCAAGCCCAAGCCACGAGAAGCAACATCTTGCACGAATTCTGCAAGCAAAGGAGCAGTGTTATACACAAATATAAATTAGTTAAATATAATCCTAGCTGTACGCACCACTATCATCCGACAACAGCTCCGTAAAGGCAAACTGCAGCAGTTGCTTTTTGTTGAGCACTGCGGGTCGTTTACTGCAATGCTTCACCACAGCGAGCAGCCAGACTGAGATGGCCTGTCGCGATTGAGGATTAGGTTCGCTAACCAATCGTATCAAGGCAATCAAGAGCTGCTCGAAATCTTCATCGCTGCAATGCACATTCACAAACGTCTCCGTTGGCGGACCCTTGTTTACATCGTAGCCACACAATGTGCTGACAATTGCCTCCGAGATGGCAATATTCAATGCTGCATCCTTTTGCACCTTGGTCAGCGTTAGGAACTTTTCCAGATTGCGTTTAGTAAAGTGAGCGCCATCTCCGATTGCCAAATAGCCCAAGCACTTGGCTGCCTCCTCGCGAATCCTTTGTCTAACGGAGGTGCTGCGCAGCAGTTGGAAAACGACGCTGAATATGATCATCTTCGTGGAAATGTGAATGCTCTCTGTGTCGGCCATCTCTGCATCATCGTCGTCATCGTTGTTGCTGGTGGCGCATTGAATTTCCACCTGTACATTGGGTATCTCGACCACTTTGCCAATCATCGAGGTGCATTTGACAGCTGCTGAGATGAGCAGCCACTGCGACTCGGTTAGCATTTTCGCTGTGAATTAAAATCCAGTGTTATAGGCCGTATTACTTTACGTGTTCCATCAAGACTTACCAATTATTTTTACTGCATTTACAAACTCCGTCCAATTGGCATAATCCTTGCTTACATTTTGTTCCCGCAATTGGTCAATTTTGCGATTGAAACTGTGACCCAACACCAAAAGCCAGCCATGCTTATGCTCAAGTGATTTCTGCGTTAAGGTGTTTAGACAATCGCCGATCTCCTGATCAAATTTATCATTTGGTAGCCCGTAGGCCCAGAGTATACCATAGACCTGGGCAACATTAAGACGCATTACTTCGGAAACATCTTTTAGTGAATTGCTCAACGGCTCCAGTAGATGCAATTGCTTGGGCGCAAATATCTCTGGTGCCGCATTCAATAGATCATAGAGACATAGTAGCGTTGAATCAGCTAAAAGGGATAAGAAAGAATTGTTACTCTCATAATATTAAGGATTAATCATAAACTCATTCATTAAATTGTGATTATATATACTTCGCTTAGCCTCCACGCCGCGCTGCACAAAGAGTAAATATTGTTGCAGTGCATTAGTCTCCTCCTCGTCGTAGTTGATGATTATATATTTGCGCAGCTCATGAACATATTTCTCATCGCCCGGTGCGGCGACGATGCCCGCCGAATACCACAGACAGAGACGCAGATAGTCGAGTATCTCCTCGTAGACATCCAGACTATAGGGCAGCTTGGTCCGTCCAATAACCACACAGCAGCTGCTCTTCTTCAGTCGCTTGTTGGCCATCTCATGGACATGGGCCATCATTGCATGAAAACTGGGCAGCAAGACGCGACGTTGTTCGAGTGACAAATGATTAAAATCGCTAATCGATTCGCTCGTATGTTTGCCTGTATGCTCAATGGAAGACAGCATACTATAGTTGACATGATCCTTCTTCGAAGTTCCATACAAATAAGTAGTCACATTCTCTCTCAAGGAGT